TGTGGGTGAAATTCTGGAAATAATTAAAGGAACACTTGTACTTTCATGTGTTCCCTTATTTGTGTCTATGAGTATATATATATTTGCATTATATTGTAGTACAGATATTACAGTATGTATTCAGGGATATATTAAGAGACTGCCGATTCTTAGATACTAAAGTATAAAGTTTGATGTTAAAGTCCGCATGGTTAACTGCCGCCATTTTGTAGTCATGGATACAGGGGAGATAACAATGTGAGAGCAGAAACTTAATGATTAATTCCACTCAGGTTAGATGATCTTTTAGTTTTGCTACAAAATGTTCATACACCCTTGTTCATGTGAATTGACTGTAATTGAGACTGTATGATTGGAATGTGGCAAGAGTTAGCTGCCCCTGCCTGTTGTGTCACATGCACCTCTTACCTGTATCTGCAAACATTGAATAAACAAGTTACAGATGACAGGTGACAGATGTAGGTTCAGGCCAATTGCTCAGCCAACACATGTCATCGTATCCCAATTGTGGAGATCGATGCTCATGCTCTTGATCACTGGATTGTCTGGTCCAGACTCGATTATTTACAGAGAGATTATTTCTAGGACTATATATATATATATATATATATATATAAGGGCAAATCCGACCTTTGGGCGACAGTACTATAAGCTGCAACCTTTGGGCGACATTGCCATATATTACAAACGTACATTGATTTTTTTATATTTCTTCGGTTATATACACTTTAATTTGATAATTAAACATTAAAAGGGGATAAAACCTTGTACATATATACAAATAGAGAATATATTTTTGATGTAAGCCCATATGTATTGTCGCCCAAAGGTAAAGTGTGCACGGCGTACATGTTTATATCGACGACCTTTAGGCGACTGTCGCCCAAAAGGTCGTATATATATATGTCGCCCAATGGTCGCTTATGTAATATACATATATATATATGTCGCCCAATGGTTGCTGTTTAATACTATATACGTGTATACATTTCCATGGCTGCTTATTTGATATATATGTAAGCCCTTTGGTTGTTTATGTCTTGCGCGCCGAGGAAATTATATTTCATATCTGTGTGCATGAAACTGACTTTCTTGTTTCCGATCTTTAACATCGCACATTACAATCAATTCATAGTTTTGTGCTTAATTTTCTCAAATATGATGCAGTCAAACAAATCAGGCTAGTTAGAATTAATACTGAGATTATGATTACTTGTAATATTTCTAAAAATATTATGCTGTAACAGACATTTATCATTTGGCATAACTTGCAATTATTGTTTCCCACTCAAGCGCCGATGTGCCCTTCCTTCATATTAATTAGTGTCCGTTGTTTACCATTCGAGGTTTGCTAAGGATTAAGTTTTAAGGATATGTTAAGATTAACCAACAACTAAATATCAAATATTCCAATACTCAAACACTGAAAACCTCTATAGGAAATAGAGGGGTGGGGTGGGGTGGTAAGAAAACGACATCGTATCGATTCCCGTGAACGAAGACGATTTTGTCAGTAAAGACGTCAAATTTTCAATTAAAAATTATTAGACAATTTTATTTATCTTTTTAGTTCTAATTTGGTTTTGCTAGGCATTGTATTATGTGTAGGGATTAGGATTAGCGTGTGCATTTGCCTCATTATACACCGTCGGAAATGGCAATCAGCTGTGTACACTTTTCCCGTGATCTACCGGTGATTTAGTTAAAATTTATCAATATTACCACCCGATGAATTCTAATGGAGTGATCTAAAAAAATCTAGTATCTGAAATTATTTTTTGTGTTTCCATAAGAAATATATTGTTTCGTTTTAATTGCAGGCTTTGCTCTATAAATGTAAAATATCTATAATCATAACTGAGGTTATGCGAGAGCACGCACTATGGTGTTTTGCTGGATAGGATTTATGCAAGGAACAATTTGACCTGTCACCGATGAGGTTTGTAGCGATCTCGCTTATTCCACGCGAAAACACTTCGTTGACATGTAATAGTCCAACTGCAAGAAATATTACTTTTAGCGAAAACAAATATGTATACAATGTACGTATCCATTTCCTGCCAAATACACTTCAATTCGAGGCGTGAGTAGATGTAAAATGATAGTGATTGTTGCGACTAATGCGGACCGAAGTCAAAACATCGGGGAGACACAGGATATAACTGCAGTTGATATAAACATTCTTTTTTACCTTTTGAGTAAAATTAATAAACTGGATTGCAAAGTCCAGATATGAAAAACGTCTTTTTAACGAGATAAAGTAACAACATCATTAACTTTCGTCATCAAATATGGATTTGTTGAAACTAATTCTAATGACTGATCACAATGAAGAGATGAGCAAAGGTTGCATACCATCTAAACACAGCCCATTTTGAGCCAGTCGGGACTATTCTCGTTCTCTTATCATACACTGAGGCAAACCAGACGACTCCTGAATAAACTGTGGGCTCCGATACTGTGATTTTCCAAATGTCTGGTCTGAAAACCATTTAAACACAGCCCATTTTGAGCCAGTCGGGACTATTCCCGTATTCTTATCATACACTGAGGCATACCAGACGACTCCTGAATAAACTGGGGCTCCGACACTGATATTTGCCTGTTGTCTGGTCTGAATACCATCTAAACACAGCCTATTTTGAAGTCGGGACTATTCGGGAGTATTCTTATCATACACTGAGGCATACCAGACGACTCCTGTATGAATTCACTGGGGCTCCGACTGATATTTGCCTGATGTCTGGTCTGAATACCATCATAGCCAGTCGGGACTATTCCCGTAGGCATATCATACACTGAGGCATACCAGACGACTCCTGAATAAACTGGGGCTCCGACACGGATATTTGCCTGATGTCTGGGCATCTCCAGAGCCCATTTTGAACCACGGGGATATTTGCAGGACGACTCCTGAATAAACTGGGGCTCCGACACGGATATGGAATACCATCTAAACACAGCCCATTTTGAGCCAGTCGGGACTATTTCGTTCTCTATCATACACTGAGGCATACCAGACGACTCCTGAATAAACTAGGGCTCCGACACTGATATTTGCCTGATGTGTGGTCTGACTACCATCTAAACAGAGCCCATTGTGAGCCATTCAGGACTATTCCAGTATTCTTATCATACACTGAGGCATACCAGACGACTCCTGAATAAACTGGGGCTCCGACGGATATTTGCCTGATATGACTACCATTGCCTGTATGTCTGGTCTGGCATACCATCTAAACAGAGCCCATTCTTACAGCCCATTTTGAGCCAGTCGAGGGACTAGTTCTCCCATCATTCGACTCCTGGACTATTCCTGATATTTGCCTGATGTCTGGTCTTACCATCTAAACAGAGCCCATGAGCCATTCAGGACTATTCCAGTATTCTTATCATACACTGAGGCATACCAGAGGACTCCTGAATAAACTGGGGCTCCGACACAGATATTTGCCAAATGTCTGGTAGTGGTGTAACGATTCATCGATAGTATCGATGTTTGCATCGTCAACTACGCGATATGAGAGCATCGATACAAAACACATTTAGGCAATATATCAGGATATTTATATCGCAAGGGTCCTTGATACATCGATGTATCGCAACAGGAGACGATATATCCCGATACTACTTAAATACTACTTAAAGTTGTAAGGAGTATTGCATTAGAAGTAGGAAGGGAGTCTCTTTGAAATACTTCTAAATTTTAAAAACAAACTGAACCTTCTGAATCTGTTTGTGTCTGCCATCTTTGTTAGATGAACAAAGGAGTTGGTGTATCAGTGAAAGAATGTGAACATTTTTCAATCTCTGTGAATTGTAAAAGACTTGTCTTTAAGTAATTGAAACATGTTTTAGTTGTTTGACAAATAACACCATTTATTAACAACTATGAACGATGTCTTAGCTTTGTTAAGAAAGAGAAGATATATTTAGAAAGCATACTTAAGAGTTTTTTTCAGTGATTCTGGTATAAATTACATTGAAATGTCAGTAAAAGCATTGGTGCAGAAACACAACTTTCCAAGGGAAGCCTAGATCAAAGGTTTATGTTTGAATTGTACTTTCTTAAGCATTAAATGCTGAAACTTCATTACATGAACAGCCTTTTAAGTGTGTGTGAATGTTGCACATGTTCTGCTGTATAACAAATAAAGATTCAGTCATTATATCTATCATATATGTCCTGTGTTTAGAATTGTAAAGTATCGGGATACGTATCGTATCGCCATCACTGTATTGCGATGATAATCGTCTCGCAGGTTCCTTGCCAATACTTTATTGATATATTGTATCGCCTCATTAAACTGGTATCAGGATATATCGTCTCGCCACTTAGGCACCGATACACAGCTCTAATGTCTGGTATGACTACCATCTAAACAGAGCCATTCAGGACTATTCCAGTATTCTTATCATACACTGAGGCATACCAGACGACTCCTGAATAAACTGGGGCTCCGACACGGATATTTGCCTGATGTCTGGTATGAATACCATCTAAATACAGCCCATTTTGAGCCAGTCGGGTGTATTCCGGTTCTCCCATCATACACTTAGGCATACCAGAGGACTCCTGAATAAACTAGGGCTCTTACACTGATATTTGCCTGCATGTCTGGTCTGACTACCATCTGAATAAATTGTGAGCCAGGGGCTCATACATTGACACGACTCCTGATAAACTTTGCCAAATGTCTGGTCTGGTCTAAATACCACCTAACCAAAGCCCATTTTGATCCAGTCGGGACTATTCCCGTTTTCTTATCATACACTGAGGCATACTGGACGACTCCTGAATAAACTTGGGCTCTTACACTGATATTTGCCTGATGTGTGGTCTGAATACCATCTAAACACAGCCCATCACCGCACTAGATCCGCAAGTGCTACCACCCCACGCCCCTATTTTTTCCAAATCAGCTTCGGAGACTCCACCATGGAAAATGGAACCACATTCCACCCCAGTGCGAACCAATGATAGGAACAAGAAAAAATTGTAAGTTTAATAATTACTATTTATTAAACCAAATAGTTTTGACATTCTTATTTGCATAACTTTGCAAAAAATTGTAATTGTGGCATTTACACTTCTCTGATCGAGACCTTGACTAACATTTGTCAGGTTAAATTGATGACAATGTTGTTCTGTGATAAGGTGTTTCACTCTTAGAGGGTGGGTTCAAATCACACAAGGGATTCACTCCACCCTCTACCAGCAAAGTACTAGTATCTGTACTATACTGGGAAAGTGAATTCCCAAATGTAACATCCCTTAGAAATGATCTGAATATTTATTAAGTTAATTTCATTCTTAAAATGTGTGCCATCTCTTCCTTGTCCTTTGCTGCTGTATTTTCTGCTTGTTCATCATTTTTGTTCTCAGCTGAACATAAGAGCATTCGTGCTTGGAAATCTGTAGAAATGACTGAATGGTCTCCGTTTCTGAAATATAACAAAGTTTTCAAAAGTATGTTAAAACATCAAGGTACAGTGAGTATCATCACTCAGCTTCTAGTCCTATAGTCTTTACCCAACTCCCCAACTTAAGGTTTTATTAGGACAAGTAAACATTTGCCATTTTAAGATTTAGCTAATTTGTTATCATTATGAGGACTTGTGGCCTAAATATACTATTCACGCTTTGCTATGAATTAAATCATTGATTCAACAGAAAACTATAATGTGGGATCAAATTTGGTTTAAATATCTAAGCTTATTGTAAGCATGGATCCTAGGTTTCAGTATGTCATTTCATCTTGTGGATCCCATACCTGCTATTGACAGGTGTTGTTTGTTTGTAAATGACTCGTTCCATGATTTGCAAAATGGTTGATTGGTGCCATTAAAACCATTTTTATGGTTACTCATGTATCAAGTGCATAAGGTTAGACAAAAGTAGCTGTTTGCCTAAAGAAGGGTTACTATATTATTATTTATCCAGTTTTAAATGTATACAATTTCAAATTATAAATCTATGTGTAAGTATAGTTGGGAATTTTTGTGATCCTTAGCAAAGTGTGAGTAGTATATGTTAGTTTCTAATCAATGCAATATACAATATAACAATCTATAGTCATTAAATTAAGTTTGCTATAACGTAGAATAGAAATAGTTCTATAAAGATGAAGCCTTGAGTATTCAGGAAACTTTAATCTGGTAACATGGCTGAAAATTGAATGGGAGTGACTGCCACTGTCTATGAGTGAAATGAGGGTCAGCACTAGTAGTGAGTGAGTTTAGTTTTTAGCTATGACAAGCGAACGCTTAAACCACTAGGCTACCCCTCCGCCCATCAACCCTAGTAGTAGTAAGCGCTTCATTAAGCAGATACAGACTGAATACCACAGAGAAAGGGAAAGGTGGGAGGATGTCCAGATAGATACTGGTTAACTTTATTGCTTAGTGTTTATCAAACAAGTGAAATAATGATGAAACAAAACATTGACGATATTAATATGCAGCAACATACACATGTTTTGGTATATACTTAGAGAAATTATTACGGCAATGATAAAATAATCAAAGCAACAAGAAAGTAATTGAACAAAAAAGACATTTTAATTAAAACAACATTTTGATTGACAAAAAATGGCAGCATTAGGTTTTTGTATAACAAAGGTCTGAACTGAAAATATGTAAAAAAAAAAGGAACATATCTGATTCACTTAACTTCTAAACCAAACTTCATAAAATTCTGCATACAATTGGCTCAGAGATTTTTCTCCAAATCTCCTACATGTCATGCATGATGCAATTGGAACCAGTTGATTACATATGTCAGCAGTATGTCAGCCAAGTTCTAGCAGTGCTAAAGGCTAAGGGTTAGTTATCTAGTTAGAAAAAGACATGGTATGTTTTCAGATTTGAGAGTTTTGTTGTGTATTTGATAAACAGAAATTACATTTAGAGCACATAAGTTTAGCTTGAGGTTTGAAATGTAAACAATTTTGGCATTGACTACTCAATGAAACCCACAAATCTAGAAAACATACAGTATGTACTGACACTGTAGAATACAAACATGATTTGTCATTTTTGTAATTTTTATCTATCTAGGTGACACATATCATTTGAAGTGTTGAATCATAACTGACATCAGTCAATACAGACTGCAAGGAAGAAATCTTAACCCTTTAGTATGTATGATTTAATACTACAGCTCAGTGCACAGTACTACAGCTGAGTGCACAGTGTGACAACCAAACCCAACTTATCCATATGATATAACTAGATTACAAACTGATTAGTGAAACAGCCTCTTTAGGGATACACAGTTTCATTACATTCGACAGTAGTCAAGTGAACTACAGAGAGTTTGGTATATACACTATATATGATGTGTAATAGGGGTGTCTGATACGCGAATGTATCGATGCATCGATACATTTTACTGACGATACGATACGATGCGATACATGCTTGCGTGTATCGATTCCTATTTTAAAACTTTATCGATTCAAATTTTTATGCTATATCCATCTCCTTCAAAGTCTTGATAGTAAAATTATACTGAGATCGCTCCGATAAATAGATGTAGCTAGCTTTACTTAACAAATAGGTTGGAAACTAACAGCTTTTGTGATTGGCTAGACTATTTTGATGGACCAATCAGCGAGCGCGTACGTTGCCGGTAAGGTAATGCTATGAAAAGACGCGAAAATTATGTATCGCGATACGTATCGTATCGTGACCTTAAAATCGTGATACGTATCGTATTGTGAGATTGGTGTATCGTGACACCCCTAATGTGTAACCCAATGGTGTACTGATAATACATATGATGTGTTGCCCACAGGTCTACTGATTGTATGATGTGTTGCCCTCAGGTCTATGGGTGATATATAAGATGCATTGCCCTAAGGTCTATGGGTGATATATAAGATGCATTGCCCTAAGGTCTATGGGTGATATATAAGATGCATTGCCCTAAGGTCTACTGGTGATATATAAGATGCGTTGCCCTTAGGTCTACTAGGGACATATAAGATGTGTTGACCACAGGTCTACTGATTGTATGATGTCTTGCCCTAAGGTCTACTGGTGATATATATCATGTGTTGCCTAAGGTCTACTGGTAATATATCTGATGTGTTGCCCTCAGGTCTATGGGTGATATATAAGATGCATTGCCCTAAGGTCTACTGGTGATATATAAGATGTGTTGCCCTAAGGTCTACTGGTGATACATAAGATGTGTGATGGGCCCTAAAGGTCTCTGATTGTATGATGTTTTGCCCTAAGGTCTACTGGTGATATATAAGATGTGTTGCCTACAGGTCTACTGGTGATATATAAGATGTGTTGACCAAAAGTCTACTGGTGATATATATGACGTGTTGCAAACAGGTCTACTGTTGATATATACGATGTGTTGCCCTAAGGTCTACTGGTGATATATAAAATGTGTTGCCCTAAGGTCTACTGGTGATATATAAGATGTGTTGCCCTAAGGTCTCCTGGTGATATATAAGATGCATTGCCCTAAGGTCTACTGGTGATATATAAGATGTTTTGCCCTACGGTCTACTGGTAATATGTATGATGTGTTGCCCTCAGGTCTATGGGTGATATATAAGATGCATTGCCCTATGGTCTACTGGTAATAAATATGATGTGTTGCCCTCAGGTCTACTGGTGATATTTAAGATGCATTGCCCTCAGGTCTACTGGTGATATATATCATGTGTTGCCTAAGGTCTACTGGTAATATATATGATGTGTTGCCCTCAGGTCTATGGGTGATATATAAGATGCGTTGCCCTAAGGTCTACTGGTGATACATAAGATGTGTTGTCTTAAGGTCTACTGGTGATATATAAGATGTGTTGCCCTAAGGTCTACTGGTGATATATATGATGTGTTGCCCTAAGGTCTACTGGTGATATATGTGATGTGTTGCCAAAAGGTCTACTGGTGATATATAAGATGTGTTGGACAGAGGTCTACTGATTGTATGATGTGTTGCCCAAAGGTCTACTGGTGATATATATGATGTATTGCCCTAACGTCTACTGGTTATATATGTGTTGGCCACAGGTCTACTGGTAATATATATGATGTGTTGCCCTAAGGTCTACTGGTAATACATAAGATGTGTTGCCCAAAGGTCTACTGGTGATATATAAGATGTGTTGCCCTAAGGTCTACTGGTGATATATAAGATGTGTTGCCCTAAGGTCTACTGGTAATATATATGATGTGTTGCCCTAAGGTCTACTGGTGATATATAAGATGTGTTGCCCACAGGTCTACTGGTGATATATAAGATGTGTTGCCCTAAGGTCTACTGGTGATATATATATGATGTGTTGCCCTAAGGTCTACTGGTAATATATAAGATGTGTTGCCCTAAGGTCTACTGGTGATATATAAGATGTGTTGCCCTAAGGTCTACTGGTAATATATAAGATGTGTTGCCCTAAGGTCTACTGGTGATATGTAAGATGTGTTACTAAGGTCTACTGGTGATATATAAGATGTGTTGCCCTAAGGTCTACTGGTGATATATAAGATGTGTTGCCCTAAGGTCTACTGGTAATATATATGATGTGTTGCCCTAAGGTCTACTGGTGATATATAAGATGTGTTGCCCTAAGGTCTACTGGTGATATATAAGATGTGTTGCCCTAAGGTCTACTGGTGATATATATGATGTGTTGCCCTAAGGTCTACTGGTGATATATAAGATGTGTTGCCCTAAGGTCTACTGGTGATATATATGATGTGTTGCCCTAAGGTCTACTGGTGATATATATATGATGTGTTGCCCACAGGTCTACTGGTAATATATATGATGTGTTGCCCTAAGGTCTACTGGTAATACATAAGATGTGTTGCCCAAAGGTCTAATGGTGATATATAGGATGTGTTGCCCTAAGGTCTACTGGTGATATATAAGATGTGTTGCCCTAAGGTCTACTGGTAATATATATGATGTGTTGCCCTAAGGTCTACTGATAATATATATGATGTGTTGCCCTAAGGTCTACTGATAAAGGGTGATATATAAGATGTGTTGCCCTAATGGTCTGTAAAAATAACAGATTGGATGTGTTGCCCAAAGGTTTAAAAGTGATATATAGGATGTGTTGCCCAATGGGCTGTGATTATAACAGATATGATGTGTTACCCAACATTCTGCTGAATATTAATACATATATATATATATATAGAAGTTGCCTGATGGTCAACAAGATACATCCTATTCATCATCAACACAGACCTTTAGACAACACATCCTAGTTGCATACAATGGAATTTAGCTTGATTGATTTACTAATGACCTGCCAAGGGATATCATAAAGCGGTCGAGATAAACACATTCTTGACCTTGTATAATGATATGATATGTTATTGGTGTTCACTTATCTTGATATCTAGAAAGACACTACTAAAAACTGGTGGTACCTTTTGACTTCAAGTCATCTGCTGATGAACAGTATATCCACCTTTACATTTCAGTACTTTCTCACAGATACTACATCTGAATCCTGAAAAGATAAACAAAGAAAATGTATCTGCTGACATGGAATAGAGGTGTCTTCAGTTCTCATTTGCTGAATTTCCTGTGTATGAAGGACACCAAAACATTAATGCAAATGTATCAACAATTACATGAATCATTTGATAACAACCCATTTAAACACCTGATACAATTATGTAAAACAAATTTAATTGAGAACCCACCCATCCCCACCCCAACCGGCCCAAGTGATATGAACATAATGGTGTCAGAACTTTAATACACCTGATTATCCGATGGAAGATTGAATTGTTGACAACAGACAAACAACAAAATGTAGGGAATATGTTAATTTGTATACTCTGTATTGAAAAATGCCAATCTTTTCTGAATTGTGTGCACTACGAAACACGACACGCAACAGCTCTCCATGAAACTGTGGTAAGATATGAATACATAGTAACCTAAAAGTGAAAATGATATCTCTATTATAAAGACATGATTATTGCAGGGATAAATTTTTGAATTGCAAATGTTTGGACATCAATCAAGTGCAAAAGTCAATAGAAAAGCTTAAAAATGTTGAAAATTACCCTATTGATATGTGAAAAGAGCAAATTCTGCCAATTTTCAAAATTTCTACATTTTCTGTAAAGTTTTCCATGATCAGAACCACAATACTTGTCTGGAACTGCTTGTTATGAGAGTATATACAGTTTTTCTTTAAATTTTTCATATATGTCATCAAAGACAGACTATCTGTATATAAGGCTATTCCATGTCTAACAATTAATCTCTTATTGGCCATTTTGAATTTCTTGATACTTTTATAAATAGTAAAAGATCCTGTATTGAGATAATACCTAAAACATGTATTGCTGCACTCGGTACTGATCGGCACACTACCATTCAAGATAACTGTACTAATATTGAGAAGGATTAAACAAATTGCAAAGATTCATGAGGCATTACTTCATCCGGGTATTGCAAGTTTGTGGTGCTGAATTCTAAAGGTAGGCCAGAACAATGTTTAGGTTAGGAATGCCACGATACATCGATACTTTTTCTAAGACGATACAATCATTGATACATTCAAAACTCTATCATTATTTGTTTTGAAAGTATTGATTTAAACATGTTTTAATATGTATCGTTCACATTTTGCAATTGTATCATGTTTTTTATGTTATGAGAGTTATAAATGATTATTTTTCATACACAAAGATGGGAAATTAGAACTTTTTTAATCTCTGAGAATAGAAAATGTTGATCTTTTCAAGGACTCTTATAAAATATAAAATATTTAATGTTCAAAATGTAACTAATTTTACACAATAATGCAGCGAAAATAGGTATCATGATACATATCGAATCATGTCATGAGTATCGTGATATGTATCGATTCATGAAACTTATGTATCGTGACATCCCTAGTTAAGGTAGAAATAAATTTAACAAAGCTGTAAAATTGGTATTCACAACTTAAATCTACTAACATGAAGGTATTGATCTCTGGATCACATAACCTACCCCTTCCTCCCTTTGGAATGCCTGAGACTCCCCCTCGGATTCTGCAATTTGAAGGTCACATTTCTCCTCTGCCAAGCTCAACGTGTCTTGGTCCCGTTCATAGTTGTCTGTATTATGTAACATTAAAATGTTAACAATATTATTCTCAAAATGATTATGAACTTAAATTCAAAACTGAGCTTAAGAAATAATATTTTTTCTTCTGAACTGATAAAGTATTTAAAATTCTACATGATTTAGTTATCACCCTAACAACATACATAAATTATGAATTTACAATGTTTCATATTCAGAAACCATTGTAAAATAAAATTAACTTACCGGGCATAAACTGGATTGGATAGGATTTCCATGTCTAACAGGACCATCCAAGACTAGCAATTAGTCTCTGAATATATATAATTTTGATAGAATCAAACAAATCCTTTTAAACTGAAAAGGAGCTCCAGTGAGATGGGAGATTCCTGAAACTAAGTAAATCTAGACTTGCTTAAATTAGGTCTTTATCATTGCAGAAAGGCATAGACGGAAGTAAAAATAATGCAGTTCAGGAACTATGAGACAGGCTAGATCTTTCCTGACTTTTTACAGTCTATGTCAGCTTTGATCTTGAGATGAAGGGTGACCAAAGGAAAAAACTTGTGCCATCAAGTCAATTTGATTGGAATTTAAGAATACCCATAATATCATAGTTTCAATTTACTCACACAATATACAAAGTTATGTCTTTATTCATGGGTTGCTTCTAAGTCATGTTCAGGATTTTGTTAGTCATCCATGCATAAAGGTAAAACTCACCAGTAATACAAAATGTTGATTTCTTTCAGGTTTATTTTTAATTTACTATTCATAATAATAATCATCGATTCTATGATTTATATCAATACTGTCTGCCCAGTGCTGCTCAGAGATGTTGGTATTAGTCGACAATGCAAACTATTAGCCGATGATGGACCAATGATGAATAGCACACTACCTGAATAGATGCATCAAAGAGGCATTTCTGAAACTGTTATTATGGCTTTGTAAAGGTAACTTACAACAGGAAGAGGCTTTAATTCTTACTGTTTGTACTGAAAGAAATGTTAAACTTCACCTCCATTTTTAAAAAAGAGAAATAGTTTGTTTAAGAAACCCCCGCTTTGAACAAAATTACCCTTTTATGCAATTTGACTGCTAAGTGAACTTAAAAAACCATAAAAGACTAATAACATATCCCTGCATAGAAACAGTTGGTCTATTGACCAACCAATAAGTTATAACATGTCTCAATGTGTTTAGTGAGATCCATCCTTGATTTTTCAGTTAATCTTATCCTGTCCACTGGTATTTACCCTCTTTCCTATGTTACACAATGTACAGGATTTAGACTTTGAAATGAGGAAATGTCCCTGCATTAAACATACAAAGATAAGAGTAGCTGCAATGGAATTATGAAAGCTCAAAAAGGGAATTCTGACTGTATTCATGCACAATATTGAATTAACAGATTCAAGTGCACCAGTGAAGTGGAAAATCTCTAGCATTTGAAACTATATCAAGTTTGGACCAAGTGCAGAAAAATACAACGTAACCAACATTTATGGTTGTCAGTTGAGTAACCTGTGAGTGGGAGGATGTATTGCTCATAATTATGCTGGCTGAGTGGCAGTGGCATGTGGACAGACATGGTTATAGTCCTGGGCCAAATGAAAGAAAAGTTTTTATCTTTTAGGATCTCTCAGCATCAGTAAATGTGTTTTCTGGTAATTAGAAATTCTTGTCATAATCAGCCACAAAATGTATCAGGTTACTAAAAACAAACAAGGTTTGACCCAGACAGCCTTTACTTGTAGGTAATAAGGTGGTAGGCTACAATCTTTGTACTCATATGGAGATAATTATTATTATTAGCATGAAAATGGTGCAACATATACATTTCATCACTATACACTGATATTTTCACTCTGATAGACCAGTGGAGGAGATACACTGCACATAAACACCCAAAGGGGCAGGGTTCAAAGCAGGAGTACAAAAAGCTATATTTGAAAGTTAGAAACTCTTGATATAAATAATGTAACTGAAACATATTATGGTCAAGAGAGCAAATGCATATTTCCTTTGCATGAACAATTTAGGAAATGTGTAGCTGATATAAAAATGTGTAGTTCAGCTATCAGAGGAAACAGCAAAGAGCAACAATGGAGAGTGCCATTATGAAACTATAACTACAAGTCTTCCTCAACACTGCACTATCAGCTCATTATTTGAGCAAACCCATGTCAATGAGTATTACCCCATGGTCAGAATATGCAGTGTGGGTGATAAAACCGATTGTAATGTGTTATGCTATGTCTACATTTGGCCTATAAGTAATTTTACTGAATTCAAGTCTTACAGATTTGGTTAGTTCCTGAAATTAGTAATGGTTATTGACTGTTTTGGGGGGTTTATTTATCTATTAGTTGGTAGATATTTATTTAAAATAAGAAAACAATATATCAGTGCAAAAAGTCAGTCTGATACCCTGAATATCAGGCGTCAGAATGAGAGATGTTTTGGGTGTTTTTTGCCGCACCTGAACTGCGCCTAAAAGTAAAAGGTCAATTTCACCCACTGAGTGAACATAAAATCATACAGCTGTGATTAGCTCTTTTGGTTGTGGATCTACAGTAGTTGGCCATAAGTGAGTCATCAATAGTGAAATTCACATAGACTTTCATGTTAATTAACTCTTGCAAGAATAATTTTCATACATTTAGTTTCGGTGGAATTGCTTTCAGCACTTATCTACCAGCTGGGAAATCATCTCAGCTTTGTACACATAATTTCCTTTCAATTTTCCGAGGATTATTAAGAAAACTGCAACTTCTTAAACAACATATATTAGACATACCAATCAGGTTTAACATGTCTATGGGATTGATAAAAATTAAGTTGTATTTATGGTGCTTAATCAGGTGTCATTCGATAACTAATCAATGGAAAGATGAAAGAAAATTATGTACACGTAGCTGAAGATGATTTCCAAGATGTTTGCAAACTTCTACTCAATTTATGAAAATTATTCTTGCAACAGTTAATTAACATGTAAGTCTATGGAAATTTCACTAATGATGACTCACTTATGGCCAACTACTGTACCCTGTAGTCTGTGTCACAGTCCCCTGAACCACAATATTATTTTCCCTACTGCCTTGCCCTTTCTGCAATGCTAAGGCCCTAAATGAAGCAAGTCTAGATTTTCTCAAGTTCTGGTTTCCCGGGGCTCCTTTTCAATTTATAATGCGTTTGTTTGTTGATATAAAAAAATTATATTCAGAGACTAAGCGATAGTCTAGCCCTAGGTGAGGATCAAGAAACAACATGATACGAAAACGTCACAATCGCGATCAAGTTACTAGCAAACAGTTTCTTCCAGTTGAGAAATCTTGAAATAGATTGTGTCATGGGACAGGCATCGCCTTTGAAACAATTGTACATGCTGCTTTTTCAACAAAATACTCCGATTACGATACATACCATGCATTTCCCAATGCTTTGTGCTGCCAAGTCACCTCGTGTAGTGCGCGAAAACTGTAGCAAAGGGGATCCGATTTGACACAAAACGTGAACGGGCCTTCGTGTGAAACATGAATTCAATTTATTTACAGATTATTACATCGTTATTTTGATTGAAGTATCAAATGTTTTAAGTATTTAAACGTGTTCTTGGTGGCACATTAGTCTTGTCTGTCAGCTCCCACAATATCTACAGACATTATTGAATTATTAGCTAAGTGTTCATTTCGACGTTGCCGCTTTTGAACTTTCACGTTTTTTGACGCACAGGAGCGTGAAGGCAAATCGCCGAAAGGTACTGCGAGCGAAACAGTGATGTTATGCTGAACACTTAACGATGTGTATATTTGAAAAAACTGTACAAAACCTAAGAGTATATATTTAGACAATAATTTCTCCATTGTTTATTTCTGAACATATATCCACGTGTTAGAGAATTTTATAGAAAACCCGTGTCGCCGAAGGTCGCAGACGTTATATACATGATATTTTTGTTTTTTCAATAACAGCACTGAAATTTTATAAAAATACAAAAGAAGCACACCCGAAGGTCCTGAGACGACCCTCTATCCAACCATCTAGTTTGGGATAGTTATTAAGGAAAATGAACATAGTTGTGACATGCAGATATTTAGGCGACAGAAATATATCCTTAGGGCGACAGCTGTCGCCTAAAGGTCGCACAAATGTCGCCCAAAGGTCGACTTTGTCTATATATATATATATATATATATATATATATATATATCTTTGCATTAAAATAAATTTCCATTTCGTGGACCAATCAATCGAAGCCGGCAGCGAAAGTCGCGTGATAACGTTCACCCCAGAGGTTGTTTGGTTCGATTAGCGAGTTTGAGGATATATTAAAGTTATTAAAATGGGTGACATGTCGTGGAAATCAGGCAGGATTTGTGGGGAAATGTATAATTGAGAGCGTAAATTTCGGCCTGAAATCGGAACGAGTCGATCTCGGTACGACAATCCAAGATGGCAGCCGCTGCTCCTTTACTCTATTTATATATACGATGTGTGTGTAGATCTATGGTCTATTGTATAACCTACATAGTGATAAAGGGTTCCTGTGCCGCCGCCATATAGCTGCAATATTGCTGTGGCGTAAAACAACAAACCAACCAAACCAAATTCAAAACTCATTTTTATTGCCTGATGTTTTTCTTACTGCTGAGGATTGGGGTAGCCTAAAACAACTCGTCATACCAACCAAACCAAATTCAATTTGTGAAGCTCATTTTTCGTTTTGCCTGATGTTTGGAAAATCAAATTCAGTCAGTCAGTCAGTCTTACTGCTGAGTAATCCTATGGTGTAGATGATACTGTATGTTTCATTTAATTCCTGCCATTTCAGGTTTGTCTGCTGCCAAGTTACTGCGAGAACAAGGTATTGATGTTGTTGTCCTCGAAGCCAGGGACCGAGTCGGAGGGAGGACTTTCACTATACAGGTAGGTACAGTGAAGACGGTGATGTCATTTTGATGCCAATAAAAGACTTTAGAGGGTGGACATAAATTGTATGAGTAAATACGGTAGATGTGGTAGATACAGTGTGTTGACGTCATCTTGAAACCAGTGGATGGGGTTATAGGGTGGACATTCTCTGTACAGGTAGGTGTGGTAGATACAGTGTGTTGTTGTCATCTTGAAACCAGTGGATAGGGTTATAGGGTGGACATTCTCTGTACAGGTAGGTGTGGTAGATACAGTGTGTTGACATCATCTTGAAACCAGTGGATGGGGTTATAGGGTGGACATTCTCTGTACAGGTAGATGTGGTAGATGTGGTTAGATGAAACCAGTGGATGTGTTATAGGGCGTCATCTCTGTAAACCAGTGGATGGGGTTATAGTGGTGGGCGTTCTCTGTACAGGTAGATGTGGTAGATACAGTGTGTTGACGTCATCTTGAAACCAGTGGATGGGGTTATAGGGTGGACATTCTCTGTACAGGTAGGTGTGGTAGATACAGTGTGTTGACGTCATCTTGAAACCAGTGGTGGGGTTATAGGGGACATTCTCTTACAGGTAGGGTGGGATACATTCATCTGTACAGGTTTAGATGTGGTAGATACAGTGTGTTGACGTCATCTTGAAACCAGTGGATGGGGTTATAGGGTGGACATTCTCTGTACAGGTAGGTGTGGTAGATACAGTGTGTTGACGTCATCTTGAAACCAGTGGATGGGGTTATAGGGTGGACATTCTCTGTACAGGTAGGTGTGGTAGATACAGTGTGTTGACGTCATCTTGAAACCAGTGGATGGGGTTATAGGGTGGACATTCTCTGTACAGGTAGGTGTGGTAGATACAGTGTGTTGACGTCATCTTGAAACCAGTGGATGGGGTTATAGGGTGGACAGTACAGGGATGGGGTATCTTTGAAACCATGGATGGGGGGTGGACATTCTCTGTACAGGTAGGTGGTAGATACAGTGTGTTGACGTCATCTTGAAACCAGTGGATGGGGTTATAGGGTGGACATTCTCTGTACAGGTAGGTGTGGTAGATACAGTGTGTTGACGTCATCTTGAAACCAGTGGATGGGGTTATAGGGTGGACATTCTCTGTACAGGTAAGTGTGGTAGATACAGTGTGTTGACGTCATCTTGAAACCAGTGGATTGGGTTATAGGGTGGACATTCTCTGTACAGGTAGATGTGGTAGATACAGTGTGTTGATGTCATCTTGAAACCAGTGGATTGGGTAATAGGGTGGACATTCTCTGTACAGGCAGGTGTGGTAGATACAGTGTGTTGATACAGTGTGTTGACGTCATCTTGAAACCAGTGGATGGGGTTATAGGGTGGACATTCTCTGTACAGGTAGGTGTGGTAGATACAGTGTGTTGACGTCATCTTGAAACCAGTGGATGGGGTTATAGGGTGGACATTCTCTGTACAGGTAGGTGTGGTAGATACAGTGTATGACGTCATCTTGATGTTGATGAAAGTGGTTATAGGTTGGCCATTCAAAGTACAGATACATACAGGAGGGATGGTGTTGACATCATGGATTAAGTCCATGTTGGAGGGTGGACATTCACTATAAGGTACACAATATGCACTGGGTTCATGTGTTGATATTGTTGTTTAAAGACTTACCCCAAAATGCCAACAACGTGCTCTGATCATTGACCTGATTTTGATAACCAAAGAATGTAAATGCCTGGGTTTTTTTTTATTTTGAGCCCAAATGAATTGACTTAAGTTCCACATATTTGTTTCAGAATGACAAGGTCAGATATGTTGACCTTGGAGGGGCCTACGTGGGGCCGACACAAAATCGCCTGCTGCGACTGGCGCGAGAGTTTGGCGTCAAAACGTTTCTCACCAACGAGGTTGAAGATTTGGCCTTTTTCTCAAGGGTAAACAGACTTTCGTTACATGTGTTTAAATGTGCTTACTCCAAAGTAACTGTGCTTTTTGTATTCTTGGATTAAGTAATGCATCGTTGAATACATATTAATCGACACACTCGACTTTAAGGTCACGATTCACATTTTGCGGGTGCTTGTTCCTGCATGTTTGTGTTTTTGAGGAGAGTGATGCACACACACGTTTAAGATTATTTAGTTATCAGGTGCTATAAAGAAACTTTTCTTTAGCTGACAATAATGCTTACACAATCAGGGCTCCAGATAACTTTTCAACATCAGGAGTACGTACTCCATATTTTTTCGACATAGGGGTACTGGAAAAACTTAAGAGTACATTTAGAGTACTGAATGGAATTTAATGGAGTGTGACTACAAGAATACGAACGAGTGATACTGGTAAGCAGTTCCTTCATTATTCGTACGACAGTTTGATTACTTGACCGTTTACAAGTTGTCGAGACACAGTCTTGTTTCTGAAAGAAACTTGTCATTTATTTCTGTGTTTACATATGCATGCCCAATTTTGACCAATCTAGCTGAACCGAGATGATTTGCTGAGGTACGCAGGTTCCTTAGCAACTGAAATTCCCCAAACATACGACAAGGGAAATCCCAATGTGTCGCTATCACGTAAATTCAAATATGGGACACTGCTTGAAATCAGATATGTTTTATATGAATACATCTCTAAATGATTCTAAGACCATACACCATTGCTGTGGTGCGTATCTGCTACGTTTTCTTAATTATTTCCTACTGCATCTTGCATATTTTTATCTGTACATATGCCGATACGGTCCTTATCTGGAGCCCTGCACAATGCTATAGGCTGTTCAAAACCACCCTCTACGAGCCATGGATATTTTGCAAACAGGAATGGCACAAAACAAGACAGGCATCGTTCATGACTTGCCACTATCCCTTTGTCCACATGATACATCACAGCAACAAGACTGCCTTATAAGGTGCAATAAAGGATGCCTGTTCACAATTCTGATGGACCTGTAATGGTCTGCAGAAGAATGTTTTAGCGATGCTTAAGTTACCCAGTGTCGTCAGTCTGGGTGTGGAAGTGTAATGATGTGCTGGAACACATCTCATGCTGGAACACATCTCATGCTGGAACACATCTCATGCTGGAACACATCTCATGCTGGAACACATCTCATGGTGGAACACATCTCATGCTGGAACACATCTCATGGTGGAACACATCTCATGAACACATCTCATGGTGGAACACATCTCATGCTGGAACACATCTCATGCTGGAACACATCTCATGCTGGAACACATCTCATGGTGGAACACATCTCATGGTGGAACACATCTCATGGTGGAACACATCTCATGCTGGAACACATCTCATGGTGGAACACATCTCATGGTGGAACACATCTCATGCTGGAACACATCTCATGGTGGAACACATCTCATGCTGGAACACATCTCTGGAACACATCTCATGGTGGAACACATCTCATGGTGGAACACATCTCATGGTGGAACACAACTCATGCTGGAACACATCTCATGCTGGAACACAACTCATGGTGGAACACATCTCATGGTGGAACACATCTCATGGTGGAACACATCTCATGCTGGAACACAACTCATGCTGGAACACATCTCATGGTGGAACACATCTCATGCTGGAACACATCTCATGGTGGAACACAACTCATGCTGGAACACAACATCTCATGGTGGAACACATCTCATAGTGGAACAACACAGGAAATCTGGAACACATCTCATGCTGGAACACATCTCATGGTGGAACACATCTCATGCTGGAACACAACTCATGGTGGAACACATCTCATGGTGGAACACATCTCATGCTGGAACACATCTCATGGTGGAACACATCTCATGGTGGAACACATCTCATGCTGGAACACATCTCATGGTGGAACACAATCTCATGCTGGAACACATCTCATGCTGGAACACATCTCATGCTGGAACACATCTCATGGTGGAACACACATCTCATGCTGGAACACATCTCATGCTGGAACACATCTCATGGCTGGAACACATCTCATGTGGAACACATCTCATGGTTCATGGTGGAACACATCTCATGCTGGAACACATCTCATGGTGGAACACATCTCTGGAACACATCTCATGCTGGAACACACATCTCAACTCATGGTGGAACACATCTCATGCTGGAACACATCTCATGGTGGGAATCTCATGCTGGAACACATCTCATGCTGGAACACATCTCATGCTGGAACACATCTCATGAACACATCTCATGCTGGAACACATCTCATGCTGGAACACATCTCATGCTGGAACACATCTCATGCTGGAACACATCTCATGCTGGAACACATCTCATGGTGGAACACATCTCATGCTGGAACACAACTCATGGTGGAACACAACTCATGGTGGAACACAATCTCATGGTGGAACACATCTCATGCTGGAACACATCTCATGCTGGAACACATCTCATGCTGGAACACATCTCATGCTGGAACACAACTCATGCTGGAACACAACTCATGCTGGAACACATCTCATGCTGGAACACATCTCATGCTGGAATGCTACTTGGTCAAAATTGGTTGAGATCATGTTATACTGTTTGTGCAAATGCGGGGATTTCGCTTCACGTTGCACAGCATAACACAGGTCCACACGGTACATGTGTTGTAACAGATTTTCCGAGACAGAATAGCACTGATGTGTCAGTCATTTTCTCCAGACCACTTCCCACAGAACATATCTACGAGTGTATTTATCTGCAATTGTCAGTCGCAGACCTAAGAACACTTACCAAGAACTTTGCCCTTGAGCAAAAACTTCTGACCACCTGCCAAACCACCATGACTGGCTTCTTTCTTCATCATTAAATATTATTAAAAGTTCATTCATTTGTTATTACACAAAGGATATTTGTTAATAAAGCATCACTGATATAAACATACATTTCACTGTGTTTGTTTAATTTTGGATTGAGTTTCTAAAAACTCCCTCTAAACCGACATCCCTCCATTTTTCACCGTCCCTGAGCAATGTCGGTTTAGAGGGAGTCCACTGTATTTAAGTATTGTTTTTCATGTTTTGTTCATGTAAGGTACAAATGTTTAACTGTTATTCCTCTATGAATGCATAAATCAAGAAACAATCCTTAAGAAGCACCTATGACTGCCCATGCATCATATATATTATTTCTAATCTGTAATAATGTTTCTATCCTAACAGGGCAGTATGAAGCGATTCAAAGGCACATTCCCACCAATGGGAGGGCTGTTCTCGTGGCTTGACATGAACAATTTGTTTCGTACCATCGACCAAATGGGGGAAGAGGTAGGAAAATGTAAACTATGTTGTTGTTCCATTACTTCCTAACACGGCCCTGAAGTGATTATGGAGATGCTCTATGCTGAGACTAGTGCAAGAGTACTACAGTAATGCAATAATATAAGAGTAATGCTATTTTTGAGGGCATAATCATTTGCAGAAGCCCGAAGTTTTCCAATAATTGCCCGACGAAGGAGGGCAGTTTAAAAAGACCCAGGGCTTCTGCAAATGATAATGCCCTCAAAAATAGCATTACCGTTATTATTATTCGGTAAGCCAATATTACCACTATTTAAAACGGGAATTCAGTTTGCTTTGACTTGTGTGACCCAGAATATCTGCCAGTCGAAAGCCAATTAATGTCGAATGAACCGTAAGCCCACTCGCCCACTATGACGTCACTTGACAACAGAACTGGTAGTGGCCCGTCGTTAAGGTTGAGCGCTCCAATATCATTTGCAGCGGCCGCAAATTTCTGATAATGGGAGGGCCGTTTCATGATAATTCCATGTATTTTAGCTATAATTTCAATTACGGTACACTATACTGTCCTGTATACTGGGTAAAAACAAATACAGGTTTTGTTATTGCTTGTATTGTTTAAAGAGAATACTAAACGACCTTCCGTGTAATGCCATTTTTGTTAAACGAGTTAATGATTTGGTATCAAACGCGAGCGAAAGCGAGTTTGATACTAAATCTTTCACAAGTTTAATAAAAATGGTATTTCACGGAAACGTGTTTAGTATTCTGTTTATTACTCTCCAACATAAATTGATAGAAACTGCCTACAGTGTGATGACTCTCAGCTTTCTGTGAGTCAAGCAAGGTCTATTACCATTGCGACAGAGGCATTCACACTGTGAGTAGTGTGACGTCATAACTGTAAACCATTATGACGTCATACATCTAGCGGTATTACACTAGTGTAATATTGCCGTAAAAATATTACACTGCAGTATCTTCCACAGGCGAGTAATAAAACCTAGTATTTCTTTTGTGAAATCCATTCATAAATAATGTTTCCCTCTGAGGTTGAATAACAAAACAATGGAAACGTGGAAGTCAGTTTTCTTTCACCTTGTTAGCTCCCCTGTGGTCTCAGCGTCTAGGCTGGCATAAGCCTGTAGATTTACCACTGTCATTTAAGAATTGAATGTCAGTTTGTGTGTTTGCATTGAGAAATGAACGATGTCAAAGCATTGTTCAAACTCTCATGTGAACGGCGAGTTTGACATTCAATTCTTATAATTTTGCACTTTGAAGTTTACACATACGTTTTTTACCCATTTCTAGATTATCATTGTTTACAGTGATGTGTTTTAATACCTGCAAAATGTTGTTTATTGGAAGGACAGGAAGAACTTTTGCAGAACAGTCTTAGCGCTAAAGTGGGCATAATTCTCATAGTTGAAAATAGGCTTACGACTGCCATAGCGCTACGACTACTTTGTCGAGTGGGGTCCATCTCCTGAGGGTTTATTGTCAAGAAGAGGCCCTCATTCCACAAAGCAGTCTTAGTGCTAAGATAGGCGTAATCCCATACTTGAACATAGACCTACGACTGTCGTAGCGTTACGATTGCTTTGTGGAATTGGGGTCCATCGCCTTTGCGTTTAGAGTCATCATTTACAAGAACAGTCTCCCTGTTTCAGCGTTCTTAGCACTAAGGTGGTCCACGATGACTTTATGAAAGGATTCCATCTCTTTTGGGTTTATTTCAAGTGTCCGCCTGTTTCAGATTCCCCTGGATGCCCCTTGGAGTGCTCCTCACGCAGAGGAGTGGGACAACATGACGATGCAGCAGTTTTTCGATAAACATTGCTGGACAAGGTAGGACCTTTCATTCATGGCGTTTATCTTTGTTGTTTCATGCTTTTCAAATAGCTGGATTACGACAGAATATCTGGGATATAATCTCTACTCAAATACTTGAACAGCTTCCTCTTTCACAAGATGACCTTGACAAGGTCAAGGTCATGTTCCCTGTTCGTCAGCCAGATGTCACCCTCTGTTGTCATTATATGCTACATTATTTCTTAATACATGGGACATAGTCTCTGCTCACAATACTTCATTAACGTCCACTTTAACAAGATAAACCCTGGGTCAAGGTCATGTCCTTTTCTGTTCGTCAGCCAGATGTCACTTCTATTTGTCATTATATACCACATATTTGCCCCGACACTACTGTATCCTATAATAAATACAGTTCAACGAATCTGGTGAACTTTTTATCCCAATCTGATACATATGCAAATCAGGTTACCAAGCTGGAACTAGAGTTAATCTCCATACATTGATTCAGTGTCTTTTTTCTGAATAATCTATTAAAAACATGTGAAGATATTAGTTTCCGATGCATTGGTGAATATGGAAACAAGAATGTCTGCAAATGTTCTGGCGCTCTGTGACAAATGGAATTGTTCAAACTATTTTCAAACAGGGTTTCTAAGGTTACCACACTGAGCCAAATTGTACATTGATTATTGTAGGAATTACATTACATATTAAGGCCAGACCAATTTTATATCTTATTTCACGGATTTTTGTCCTCAGAAAATCTAAAGGCAGGAGGGAGAAAAATAAAAATAAAAATCACCAGTCAAAGTTATATTCCTTTTACATACTAAAAGTATTTTATTTTTGGTAAGTTATGAAGTGTATATGGGGCAAAAACAATCCACAATTTTTTCCATAAGTTTACATTCTTTGCCAATAAAACCATGAGGATTTTATTTTTTGGGCTGGGAAAATTAATTTTTATTTTTTCTTCTTCTTGAAAGATACTGACCATGGATCCAGTAAAACAAGAAATAAAATTGGTCTGGCCTAAAAGATTATTACCCAAAGCGGGTTAACCTAGCCCAGCACACTCAACATGGAAACCTGAGCAACAGAACCACAAACTTTATACAAAATGAAACAGAATAAAAAACGATTTCACTGTTTATTTTAGTTATGACTTTTTAACCAATTTTACCTGTGTAAATGTCAGAATGTGTCCTATTTTAGAAGCTATAGATATTTGAAACTGTATCCGACTGTAACCAGTTTCCTATTCCAAAGTGATTGAGCTGAAGCTTAAATTATAAATCGTTTCTTTCTGTCAATTGTTTTCAACTCTGATCCGGAAACAGAGCTGCTAACTCATTTGGTCGTGAGTTTATTGAGGTCAATGTGACCTCGGAACCCTACGAAGTATCAGCTCTGTGGTTTCTCTGGTATGTTAAGGGAGCAGGTGGCTCCTTCCGGATTTTCGGAACAACTAACGGGGGACAGGTGATGATTTGGAGATAACTGTTATCAAATATTTGTTTCAAACTGTCTGTCCGTTTGATGTTCATTTCTATAATTTGGACTCGTAACATTGTGATGTAAATGTCGGAAGTATTTCTACATGTTCAATGGACTTTTTTTGCTTTATTTAATGTATTTTTGTTTTGGAGATAAGTTTTGTAATTATTTATTTTGTTGATATTATTATCTGCTTGTTTTCCCCGTGTTTAAAGATATTGTTGAGTGGAAGTACATTTTGTCCACAGTGAAATGTCGTTGAGTTGAATCTTGTTAATCTGGAAAACAAGCATTGTAAATTATTCCTCCATGACTACTTCCGGTATCTTACAAACAACCTGTTAATGGAAACTAAAGGTTCCAGTTTAACAAGTGTCAACTGTATGTTTGTGATATGTTGTAAGTTATGTTTTATCTGGTTTATGGAAACTGTTTTTCACATGTACACCCTGTTTGTGAAGTTTGTGTGCAAGGTTTGTTTTCAGTTGCAAGAGCAAGCTGTCATGGACTTTCATTAAACATAAATGCCTCTGTTCACCCAGCAGTGAATGGGTACCTGGTGGGATGAGTCATATCATTGTTACCTTCTAGTGTCTCACAGGCAGTGCTTGGATAGAGGTGCTTCATAAATAGCCATTTTATATTATTATGTTAAATGTATACATGATTGGGACAGATAACCCAATATGATCCTTGACTTTTCAGCACCATATTCGAGACTTTCATGAATGTGGTACACGTGTTCCACCTGCTTCACTTTAGGCTTACTTCCCAAATTAAAATAGCACGCTGGAATGACTGAAATACTGTTCAAAACAGCTTGAACATAATCTCACTGTGAGGTGTATGTCCGAAAGTAAGCTCTAAACAAGTTGTAGGTAATTTCACGCTGGAAAAAGTTTAAAATTGTAATTTCAAAAAAATTAACATCGTCGTCGTCATTGGTAAATATTTCTGAACCATTTTCACCCTAAGATTTTATCATGAAAAAATTTGAAAATTATATTCTTACACAATCTGTAATGAAGGTACGTGTATATGTTTTTATCTGATATTGTAGATCCGTGAAGTCATTCATGAAAATGTTCGTAAATGTAAACGTGACCTCTGAACCCACCGAAGTCTCTGCCCTCTGGTTTCTCTGGTATATTGCCAATTGTGGGGGAATCAACAGAATTTTCTCAACTGAAAATGGGGGACAGGTGAATCCTAATCTGTTAATCCATCCTCCTTTTCTCACCTTAATCCTCTCATATCTAACAATCTATCTGCCTTTGTCCTTGAATGCTGATATATCTATGGTTAAGTCAGGGATTTATTTAAGATTTCAAACTAAGGGATGGTTCATAATTATGGCTATGGGGTGTGATGATGATTGTAAGGGTGTGTCAACCATTTTGTTCTGGGGAGGTAGGGGGACATCTGTTTTGTGCACATGTACTAGCGGGGACGCCATTGACATGCAGGGGAGGGGGTCACTTACTTTCTACTTAAATTATTTTATTTTTTTTGGGGGTGTGTAGGAGGTATGAAAGGGGATGCACATTGTACATGCTTCTCCCAAAAAATCATCATCACCTCCCCAAGCCGTAAATTATGAACGGTCCCTTAGAGCCTCTGACTTGCAAATTAAGAACAATGTTCATTTGTTCAAAATTGGGATCTTTGTTTAGTTCTAATTTTCACAGATTTAGAGTCCTATATTAAAACTAGGATTTTCTACCAACTAACAAGATAGCTATATGTTACAAATATTAACATGAATTGGGACAAAAATTAATTCGATTTTGGGAATTTTTTAATCACATTAGCTGCAGACTTTGAGCAGGTCTAGATAAATCCCTGTCTGTTTCATGCCTTGCCCTCTGTTTGAAAGGATGCAGTGCCTAGCCTATAACAGCTAGAGGTTTAACTGGTTTCAGTGATATGGAATTTGTCATGTTGTTATGTTTGAAAATAGCGTTGACAGTCCTTGATTTTTTAAATACAAAACACATCGATGTTTGGTTTTATGGGGAAAATGCAAAAGATTTCATCCAGTTTTACACCAATGAACCATATCTGACTGATGGTCACTGTTTATCTGAATGGTTTGTGGGTCCTGAGTGATCCCAGAATACAATAAACTCTTTGTAATCCTTAACAAATGGCACCACCCATCTTCCCTATGAAACAGTAATGGGTTTAGAGGAGTCCACTATGTTAAGTATTGTTTTCATGTTTTGTTCATGTAAGGTACAAATGTTTAACTGTTATTCCTCTATGAATGCATAAATCAAGAAACAATCCTTAAGAAGCACCTATGACTGCCCATGCATCATCATATATATTATTTCTTAATCTGTAATAATGTTTCTATCCTAACAGGGCAGTATGAAGCGATTCAAAGGCACATTCCCACCAATGGGAGGGCTGTTCTCGTGGCTTGACATGAACAATTTGTTTCGTACCATCGACCAATTGGGGGAAGAGGTAAGAAAATGTAAACTATGTTGTTGTTCCATTACTTCCTAACACGGCCCTGAAGTGATTATGGATATGCTCTATGCTGAGACTAGTGCAAGAGTACTACAGTAATGCAATAATATAAGGGTAATGCTATTTTTGAGGGCATTATCATTTGCAGAAGCCTGAGGTCTTCCATTAACTGCCCGACGAAGGAGGGCAGTTGAAAAAGACCGAGAGCTTCTGCAAATGATAATGCCTTCAAAAATAGCATTACCGTTATTATTGCTAAAATACATGGAATTTGTGTTGAAAAGAAAAAGGAAACAATGAAGGAATTTGACTGTATGTTTACCCAAATCAACTTCTGACGGGGTTGACTGCCGGAATGCAATTACGTCATCTAAAAATTCAAGTGACGTCACAACAGAAAGTGACGATATTCGACCTTGGCCTTTGACAAGACCATAGCCTGCAACATGTCAAACTACGTCAATATTCGGTTTTGGTCCATCAACAGCGTTAATAGTGCAATTGTTAAAGGTCACATGCAATTATCACTTATTCATGACATATAATATACATTGCTGGTTATGAAAAAACATATAAGCAAAATTATAAGCGTACAATCGCAAATCAAAAGTGTAATATTGTGTATTTGGATTTACTTCCCAAGAAACGAAGCAGCCGGGATACCGAACCCAGACAGAGCGGGTGGGTGTGCACTCAAGTGTAACGGCTGGTTCATTTGCAGATGCTCTCACGGCTCATTGTGTGTGTATATATAGAGATGTTGGGTTTTGTAAATACATACTAATTTTTTGTGTATAACATTTTGCAATCAACAGACATCATAACATGTCATGTGTACAAGTATCACACCTGCCTGTCTGTGTAATTACATAATGTGACAGACACAGAACTCGGGCCATATGGTGTATAGCCTGATTGGTGTTAAGTTCAAATTGCATGTAGTCAGTGATCGCAGTTGTGTATTGAATATTGTCATTAGCAGACAGGCAGGCAGACACATAGGTGTCAATAAAACAGACATTGAGTTTTGTCTGTGACAACGACATATCTATATCACAGTTAGAAATTCTGTCAATGCTAAATAATGACATTGCTTTTAAGTATCGAACTGAGAAAGTGACTCGGTAAGAAGAACGTGTGGTGAAATAGACAAATGAAATTATATAAACAGTTAATCTACTGTCATAACATATAAAAAGCTCACGCCTGTGAAATATCAACAAAACATTAGAAAAATAGCTCACACCAAAGCCTTCACCGAGTATTCTCCGGACAACCCACTTCCAAGCTGCGCGAACCTATTTCACTGTGCACGTGCTATGAGCGCAGCCCAGCTGTTGAAACCCGTTTTCCCCTAAAAAGTAAAGGGGAAATTAGTGAATCGTTTGAACTCCGATTTCGCGCGGTTTTTTTCATCGCGTTATTTTTCAACTTTATAAGTTGAATTTGCATTTTTGATGATTTGTTTCGGTAAGGTATCAGAATCTGCAAAGTTGTGTTTTACGTTGCATGTGACCTTTAAGGTTAGCACCAACAAGAAAGCCAGTATTACCGCTATTTAAAGCGGGAATTCGGGTTGCTTTGTTTGACCCAGAATATCTGCCAGTTGAAAGCCAATTAATGTCGAATGAACCATAAGCCCACGCACCCACTATTACGTCACTTGACAACAGAACTGATAGTGGCCCGTCGTTAAGGTTGAGCGGTCCAATATCATTTGCAGCGGTCCGCACATTTCTGATAATGGGAGGGCCGTTTCATGATAATTCCATGTATTTTAGCTATAATTTCAATTACGGTATACTATACTGTCCTGTATACTGGGTAAAAACAAATACAGGTTTTGTTATTGCTTGTTTTGTTTATAGAGAATACTAAATGACCTTCCGTGTAATGCCATTTTTGTTAAACGAGTTAATGATTTGGTATCAAACGAGCGAAAGCGAGTTTGATACTAAATCTTTCACAAGTTTAATAAAAATGGTATTTCACGGAAACGTGTTTAGTATTCTGTTTATTACTCTCCAACATAAATTGATAGAAACTGCCTACAGTGTGATGACTCTCAGCTTTCTGTGAGTCAAGCAAGGTCTATTACCATTGCGACAGAGGCATTCACACTGTGAATAGTGTGACGTCATAACTGTAAACCATTATGACGTCATACATCTAGCGGTATTACACTAGTGTAATATTGCCGTAAAAATATTACACTGCAGTATCTTCCACTGGCGAGTAATAAAACCTAGTATTTCTTTTGTGAAATCCATTCATAAATAATGTTTCCCTCTGAGGTTGAATAACAAAACAATGGAAACGTGGATGTCAGTTTTCTTTCACCTTGTTAGCTCCCCTGCGGTCTCAGCGTCTATAGGCTGTTTGCAGTGAAAGCGTACCGATGAATTTCACTCTAAACAAAAATGTAAATCGATTAAAGCGAAATTAAGATTGCAAATCCTCATAATTTTACCTTGCCAATTGAACATTCAAATCTCAGAAACTTATTC